TCCAATAGAAAGCATTTAAATCGTTAAACTGCTTTAAAATTCTGCAACCAATGCATCTATATAAAACTGTTCTCTGAAAATGAAATTGTAAATCACATTTTTATAGCACATTAAATTACAGTCAGTCAATAACAGCATATGACGCACACATCTGCATTGTGAGCCATGAATGCATGCAAAATTATCAAAACATTAAACTTGATTTTATTTATATCCTGCACATGAAAGAGCGGGTAGAAAAACTCAGTCATAAAGAAATTCTCGTTTTAAATTGATGGATACAATAAACCAAAATGTAAATGTAAAATAAAAATGCTCGATTAAGCTGTGAGTAGAAGCAGATCATTCTTCATTATGACTGTGAGCTCCTCAATGTAAACTAATCTCTCCGTCGTCTTTTTCTACAGTTATGCATGGGGGAGGCTACCGTAAATATTAAGTTGGAAGGTAGTTTAAACTCAGTTCAGTGAAAATATTTACTAGTGTGTAAGTTGTAACCAAGGCCCATTTACACTAATACGTTTTAGTTTTAAAACGCATAAGTTTTGCTACCGTTATGCCATACTTCTACACTAAACATGGACCTTCAGCATGCACTGGGGTGGTTTGCTGCCGAGTGTGATGTGGCTGGAATAAGAATCAGCACCTCGAAATCCAAGGCCATCGGCTCCACTGGAAAAAGGTGGTTTGCCATCTCCAGGTTGGAGGAAAGTCCTTACCCCAGGTGAAGGAGTTCAAGTATCTTGGGGTTTTGTTCACGAGTGAGGGAAGGATGGAGCGTGAGATTGACAGGCGGATCAGTGCAGCGGCAGCAGTAATGCAGATGTACTGGTCTGTTGTGGTAAAGAAGAAGCTGAGCTGAAAGGCAAAGCTTTCGATTTACTGGGCAATCTACATTACTACACTCACCTTTGGTCATGACCGAAAGGACAAGATCTTGGATACAAGCGGCTGAAATGAGTTTCCTTTCTAGGGTGGCTGGGCGCGGAGATCTGTCACCCGGGAGGAGCTCGGAGAGGAGCCGCTGCTCCTCCACATCGAGAGAAGTCAGCTGAGGTGGCTCGAGCATCTGTTTCAGATGCCTCCAGGATGCCTCCCTAGGGAAGAGTTCCAAGCATGTCCCACCGGGAGGAGGCCTTGGGGAAAACCCAGGACACGCTGGGGGACTATGTCTCTCGGCTGGCGTGGGAATGCTTTGGGATTCCCCCGGAGGATCTGGAGGAAGTGTCTGGGAAGAGGGAAGTCTGGAGTTCTCTCCCTAAGACTGCTGCCCCCTCAACTGGGCCCCGGATAAGTGGATGAAAATGATGATGAATATGAAACATGCCCTCTCTTTTGCTGGATATCAGTTTTAATAATCAATAATGACCATTAAAATATAAAGTATAGCATACATTAAGTTTATACATTATAGAAAATAAAGGCAAACAATCGGTCAATATACAGAGTGTACGTGGTCACATTAATTATTACCTTATCTTTGAGCTCAGCCAAAACACATCACCTGAGAACAAGTAATAGATTCAAAGTCGGGTAATATGTCGTTAGATATAGACAACAAGATGAATTAAATATCACGTTTAACAAATATAGTGGGATTAGATCCAGCAGTAGATCCTTGAAGAACAGTCTGAGGAGCACAGCTCTCATCTGGGTAGATATGCTGCAGTGCGTGCCAGAATGTGTGTGTGTGGTCATGTGATGTGCGTTTTCAGTGGTGTGATGTAGACGGAAAGTTGTTTGGAAACGTTAGGTAAAACGCCAGTGTGGTCGCAGATCGTTTTCATTCTAAAATGCCATTTTATAACTAAAACGTATTAGCGTAAACGGGGCCTTAGGCCGTACTTACACTATGTATAGTTGCCTCGAACCGGGCCAAAGCACGCTTGTCCCCCCTTCGGTCTCCCTGACGGCCCACTCTCTCATTACAATTTGGCCTGGGCACGATTACGTCATCGATGATGCAATGGTCTGAAGCGCTCTCGCTCAACACAGTGAGGATTTCTTTAGTTATCGCTTTGGGATGCGGTGACACGCAGTCAGATATTTCGCCGAACAGATCCGCCACATTTGACGCTTATAAACAATCATAAAGCCCTCATGCTGCAGGAATGTGGAGGTTTGCTGAAGGTGCGCAGCTGTCGTGGAGTGAGAAGTTTGCGTCTTTAATAAACTACGGCAGTTTGCGTTCACTGAACAGTAAGAATGATTAATAAATCCATATGAAACAGCCCCTTAAAAGTCACGTCTCGCTTTCAGGGTTTTGGCGCGTTTGCACTCTACAAGCATACCGTGCCAAAACCAAAGTGAACTGCGCTCAGGCACACCTCTTCCAACCGGGCCAGGGCCGGCCAAGTGAATCATGCCTGAACCCGATTCAGAGCACTCACACTTCTCAAACAATCCGGGAAAGGGCCTGGGCACGGTACGGATAGCATAGGGTGAGTAGGCCCTTAGTGTCCCTTTAAGTCACAACTAGGCTGTGTTTTAACTTGCGCACTACTGGTGCAACCAGCACCTGTACCTTAAGTTTGATTCATTCTTTTAAAAGTCAGAGATTTTGATAAAGACCCACATGTAGTGTTTGTTCACTAGTCTAGCTATTGATTTGTGTTTCTCTTTCTTATGAACCTTTTGTTAGATTTAGCTGTGTTTGGCTTATCCGTTCACCGGTGGCTCGCCAATGGTTTAGATTACTCTGTTACATAAAATAAGTAAGCTTACCAAAGTCATTATGGGGAGAAGACTTTATTAATGACAGTGAATAGTACAGTTCCTCAGCAGCAATGTTAACCCATCGGTCTTCAATTAACTTAACCCAAAGTGCTGTCTGTGAAACACTACTTTATCACAAAGGATATAACCCTGTCCCTCCTCAACCCCGTCCCCTCACAACCACGCTTAATTTACTGTAGGCCTTTTGGTTCACACCTTTTCAGATGCAGATGCTTGTTTGCATATGAAACAAGTTATACAATCTCTCACTTTTATAGAGGGTAGTTTTTTTAAACAATCCTCTTACTTATCATTCCCATTATTCTGACTTATACTGCATTGACAAGGAGTTTGTGCTATATTACAATCAGTATTTAGTAGGGATGTAACGGTATCAGAATTTCACGGTACGGTAATACCTCGGTATTAATGTCACGGTACGGTATTTATTGAATCATTTACAGGAAAAAAAATTTTTTGAAAATACTCCAAAAAAGTGCCAAAAGTGTCAATGACATACAAATTAGCCATCTATCTGTAAGCTTTGAAACAGGAACTTCAATTTTAATAACAAAAAATTATTAAACCATGTAAAAAAATAAAGTTTCAATTTAGTATTGTTGAAAACTCGTCACATTCAACATTTAATCACTCACTTAGATAGAGATGGGTTTAAAGAAAAAATATCATATAATTATAATCTGGTAAAAGCTGGTATCTCTGGGTATTTACAATGTCCCCTGCAACAGAAAAAACCCCTCTCATTTGGGACTGAGGTTTCTGGGACAAGAGAGATATGACTTGGCCCATGTTGACAGCAGTGGGTAACGTTGTGCATTGTCTTTCCCCCACTTGAGAAGACAAATCATGAGTGAGATAGAGGTCTCATGTCTGCATCAATCTGAACAGTGTGCTGTGTTTCTGCAGTCCCCATGACTGTTATTAGTCGTATTCCCCAACTTGCAGGCACGTGCACACATAGGGCTCAACCTGTGCAGTGCACATGCCCTTTTTAGTCTTGGATAGAAAATGCCCTTCCAAAACGATCAAAAGTGCCCCCGCGACGCGACACAACCTCCGTCCAGTCCAGCCCTTCAGTAGGCGCGCGACAACACCTCTCTTGGTATGCGCGCTCAAAACCCCCCCCCCCCCTCGGCGCTTTACAATACGCGCGCCACAACACAGCTGATCAGAACGAGCGCGACAGCACCGCTATTCAGCACGCGCGCGGCGACAACACCCGCTTTAGGTTCGATCATTTCCATCTTTTTTTCATCTCCGCTACTAGCAGCACACTCCATTTCCGCATTACTGGATCTGTAGCGACAACAGACCGCAAAGGATTATGGCCACGCCGGGGCTGATGGGAAATGAAGTTTCAGCTACCTCCCGTTCGCTTCATTCGCCTGAGCAAATTTTCTCTGAAGATCTATAGTTTTACCGAGTCATGCGACTTCGGTAATATCGAAAAAATTTAATATTGCGGTATGACGGTATTTACAATACCGTTACATCCCTAGTATTTAGTAAATCTACTGTAAATTCTAATGTCACCAATGTTACTAGTTGAAACCTAAAGTGACTATGAGGTCTTGAAATCTATGGAAACGCTCAGCTGTCAGGAGAGGTGGTGGTTTGGTGGTGTTTGACAAGGTGCGCGCGACGTGTCTGAAGAGTGAGGAGAGATGCGGTAGGGAGGGGTGAGAAGGCTGCGCGACGTAGCCTATTTAAGGATCGAGAGGGAGACGCGAGATTACCGGGAGATCATCACTCCTTTGCGGGCATCCGGGAGACTCGCAAAACTTCCCGCTCTACTCATAATTCTCTCTTCATATAGCCGTACGCCTATTACATATCCATAAAACACTGTGTCATTACCGCGCTCGGATCCTATCGCTTTCTCACTGCAGTCGATCCGCTCTAGAGTTGGTTTCAATCGAGCCGAAACCACCTCATTCAAGCGAACTCGGAGCGATTGATTGCTGGTTTCACAAATGCCAAACGAACCGCGCTAACTGGGCAAGCGAGACAGGTTTCGAAACAAAAGTGTAGGTGTGAAAGCACCAATAAAACAGGTCTTAAAAGATAATGAATTTCGCTGCATGATTCCTGTATATACCCTGAAAATGGCATTGTTCACTGAAAAAGCTGAACATGAAGTAAACCTTCATCCACCAGTGGACTCTGTCATTGGACCAACTGGATGGATCCTTATAATATATATTATTATTATGTCAGCGTGCTGTTATGTCATTTTAAAGGCAGTCTTTTCATTTTTATTTCAGACCTGATGGAGGACACACACCGTCATGAGAAAATGAGTGAAAAAACTGACTCACTGAAGAGAAAAGACAAAGAACGTGTCACCTGCACTCAGTGTGGAAAGAGTCTAACGAACAAACAAAGTCTCAAGAGTCACATGAGGATCCACACTGGAGAGAAACCATTCACATGCACTCAGTGTGGAAAAACATTTTTAAGGGCTTCGCACCTGAAGAGCCACCTTAGAGTTCATACAAAGGAGAAGCCTTATCCATGCTCTGTTTGTGGAAAGAGTTTCAAACATCAACGTAGTTTAAGAAATCATCAGAAGATCCACACCGGTGTGGGAGAGTACAAGTGCTTTGAGTGTGAGAAGACCTTTTGTACAGCTGAAAGTTTGAAAATACATAAGAGAATTCACACTGGAGAGAAACCGTACATTTGTTCACTGTGCAATAATAGATTCAATCAGTTTGCACATATGAAAACACATGCGAGAGTTCACACTGGAGAGAAACCGTACAAGTGTTCACACTGTGATAAGAGATTCAGTGATTCAGGAAATCTGAGACAGCACGAGAAGATTCACACTGGAGAGAAACCTTACAAGTGTTCACACTGCGACACAAGATTCAGACAGTTAGGAGGCCTGAAAACACACGAGAGGATCCACACTGGAGAGAAAACACACAAATGTGATCAGTGTGGAAAAACATTTTTAAGGGCTTCGCAGCTGAAGAGCCACCTTAGAGTTCATACAAAGAAGAAGCTTTATCCATGCTCTGTTTGTGGAAAAAATTTTACACGTCAAGAAAGTTTAAGAAATCATCAGAAGATCCACACCGGTGTGGGAGAGTACAGGTGCTTTGAGTGTAACAAGAGCTTTTGTAGGGCTGAAAATTTGAAAATACATGCGAGGGTTCACACTGGAGAGAAACCGTACAAGTGTTCACACTGTGATAAGAAATTTAGTGATTCAGGAAATCTGAGACGGCACGAGAAGATTCACACTGGAGAGAAACCTTACAAGTGTTCACACTGCGACACAAGATTCAGACAGTTAGGAGGCCTGAAAACACATGAGAGGACTCACACTGGAGAGAAACCTTAAAGTGGTAGTCCACAGTGGTTTTTTAAAGCTTTGATTGAGCATTTATGGGCTGCAAAAGAATTTGTTCGTGATTCATTTGTAAAAAAAAAAAAAAAAAACAATCATGTTATTTGTTCACATATATTACCTTTATTTTATACAGCTACTGAACTAACATGAAAAAAAAAACAGAAAAATTCTCAACGGGCTCTGATTAGTTCGCTAACCTAAGTGAAGTTTATTTATAAACTAATTTTGAGAGGGAGCTCGTGCCTATGATTGATCACTGCTGGTCCCGCATTAACCAACGCATGATTCCTAACTCACTATAAATCACCAGACTTTCTTACTTTAGTTATCTTTGCCTAGAACAGGGTTACTCAAATATAAATTTGAAAGGTCCCGTTACCAAATTTTCATTTAGTCCAAGGTCCGGAAAAGTAAGTTCAAATACCAAATAGAGAGCTCCAATAAAAAAAGGCAATCATCAAAACTTTCCAACTACACACAAAAATATCATGATAGAACTTTTAGTGTGAAAGGTGACACCTTCTTCATGTCACCAGTTGTTTAAACTTGGGAATAAAAGTTGTGAGGGCCAGGCGGAGGCACTGATGTAGCTGTTCATTGGTAAGTGTGCTGCGGAATGAGTTTTTCACCATGTTCAGAGTCAAAGCAGTACATTGAGGGAAACATTATGAGAATCTGAAGGGACATCTTCTGCAGGAGAAGAACACCTGCTGCAGTAACCATTTTGTCCAGAAAGTGACAGGGTCACCAAGAGATTCCTGCAGTGCCAGGTTTTCTTGGAGCTTGATTAGCTCTGTTTGTAAAGCAGCAGCATTTGCCCATGACAAGACTTTCATGGCTTCAGCTGAGAATTCTGCAATACTTTTGACGAGAAATAGATTTTCTATGCACAAGATTTGTTTTCCCAGATGGAAATCTTCAAATCGAGTTTGGACATTTTAAATCAGTTTTTCCAGGAATTC